ACATATGCATACAACTATGATACCGGGCTGGGGGGGTCTATAAGGTACATGACGGGGTCTACTCACGCATGGCGTAGCTCTAGGGTAGGGTAGGGATATAAGTCGCTCCGGCTAGTCTGAGTTCCGCTTAGCCTTGGGTAAGCTACGGGAAGGATGGTAGGATGTGTCCGTGGGTGCCGGCTTGCCTTCCTTAGGTACTCCTGCTGGCTAGACTCTCTGAATTGGGCCTGTAGAAGATTGCATGAGCCTGACGTCTGAAGTTCCCATACGGCAAGGTTCGTCCACTTCCGCTTCCACTAGGGCTGGGGGGTTGGCCCAGCCTTGGTGCTTGTCACTGATGTCTGGTCCAATTTGCCCTCAATACTGGTAGGGTGATGGTCCTGAGCGCTGGTCACACTGAGGTAGGATAGTAGGGACAGGGGGTGCGCTGGGAGTATTAACGTGGGGATGGGTAGTTGGTGGCCTATCCTGTCAGAACAACCATTGGCTGCCGCTGCCAGCAATCACCTGGGGTCTGGTCCTTGGCCTCTACAACACCCTGGTTTATTAAAAGAAAAAAAAAAAAGAAAAAAAAAGACCCGACATACAACAAACCTGGACTAAATCCCTGGGTGGTGCAGGCAGTGTCTGTAATCCGTACTCTCAACCACCCCAAGGGATTGGTGTGTGGCTGGGCGCACCAGCCAAGAGAAGGGCCATGCAGGTTCTTTTTTTTTTGGCATGGAGAGCATTTCCAGGCTCGGCAGGGGAAGGGTCAAAAGTACTGGGGGTTTAAGCGCCTTCATGAGCCTCTTGGAGTTGGATGAAACAGTCTGTCACTGTTGCCGTCTCCTTTTTTCTCCGTTTTTCCGTTTTTCATTCCTCTTCCGCCACTCATTCGTGCGTGCGAGTCTCATGCTCCAGTGGCCAAGTCCCACTAGCAGCATTGAGTTTCCTCTACGCCTGCATCTGGACGTTTTTGTGGAGAGTGCAGAAATTGCTCCACAAAAACATCCAGATTCAGGCATTGAGTTGTTGGTGGTGGGACTTGGCCCCAGATCAGGCGACTACAATGGCATTGAGTTGAAGACCCCCTTTTTTTTTAACCTCTCCCGCTGCTTGGAAAAAGGGAAAATAGCCTACTCCTAAAATTTTGGGGGCTGGCCTGATGGCGGCTGCCATTGATGCATCTCATAGGAGGCCGTCGTTTCGTTTCGGCCTCCGAAACCATCAGGTACCCCACGATGTGAAAACGAGGCCCAGGTAGTGATGGTTTAAACCACCAGTACATCAGGAAAGGCGGATTGAGCCTCTCCTAAAACTTCGGAGGCCATGGACTGTGGATAAAATGTCCTAAAATAAGGAATTCTATGCCAATACTCTTTGAAAAAACAGGTAGATGGGTGGGTTCAATGAGCGCCATGAGGATAGTGGGTGGATGGCAGAGGCTAGGGGATGGAGGGAGACTCCACCGGTGTCCCCCGGTGCCCCCCCCGCAATACCCGACCCTGCTGCAGGTTAGGTATGGAAGAGCAGAGTGAATATGGGACGCTGGACCCGGTTTCCAGCACTTTGGCGTCACTCTCATTGATGTACCGTGTGGCAAAGATGTATTTTTGGGACGCTGGACCCGGTTTCCAGCAGGTGTTGCTCCCCACCAATAGATGGAGCGGCCCGCTTGGCAAAGCCTCAATCCCGGTGGTTCTCTTACCACCACCAGGATAGAGGTCTTGCACAAGGGCCTTTCAAAAAAAAAAAAAAAAAAAGGAGCTTCCCTCAGAGAGCTATCAATCGACCCAAGGGCTTGAAAGTGGAGGGAAAGAGTGACATCAAGAGCGAACCCACATGGGGCCTATCTTTCAAGCTACTCAGTGGCAGAGTCCTACAAGCTGGCGAATAGAAGAAGGAGAAACCCAGCAAGCGTTGCAGTGGCCAGATGGGGTGCAGTCCTAATGGAAGACCTACAGGGAAGGGAAGGAGATTTTTCAAAATTATGGAACGTGCTACTCACCCTTCCGGAGCTGAAACAAGCGAGTCTTCTTTGGATGCTCTCCCCCCTGGTTACTCCTTCAGCGGTATGGTTATGCAGTAGAGGGATGGAGGAGGTTCCCCTGAAATGCTCACGCTGCTCCGAGTCATGGCCATTCGAGTCCACCAAACACTTGTGGTGGGACTGCCCAGCGTCAAAAAGGGTGTGGAAATGGTGGGAAGACCATTGAAGAAGAACGGGAGGTGAAGGTATTGAGTGGGACGAGCAATTGGTGCTACTGGGATTTGTTAAGGAAGACCACACAGGAAAGAAGGGTTGGCCACATGTGGCCCAAGTGACTAGAGCGGTCATCTGCTCTGTCATCTGGGCGGACAGAAACCGGTCCAGATTCGAGGGGCGACCGCTGTCGGATCAAGAGATCAAAGCGATGATTAAGCAAGGACTGAGGAGAGCCGTCTGGGCGGACTGGCGCAGGAAGGTCAGAAGCGGTAAAGGCCCAAGGAGACACCTTTGGTGGTTCTTGAGATCATGGGGCAAAGGGAACCAACTGGCAGGGGTACACACAGTGAGAGGGTTAGTGGTCTCTAAATGGCTGAGCTCGTAGTAGAGTAGGAAGGGAGGGGTAGGAATAGAAAGCAGCTATCTCAGTAGAGAGGACCAGGGTATCTCGGTCAGTAGGGAGGAGGCTAGAGAGTACCATAGTTAGAACCAGAGCACTCGGTTCTATAGGGACGCAGTGGTCCAAGTAGGAGAGTGCGGTAGAATAAGGAACGAAGGCAGCGTTCCACCAGATCGCATAGACCTGGGCGCCGTGTTAGACGAAGTAGGGTAGGAAAGGGTATCGGTAGAAGGAAGTACTGAGTTGAAGGTAAGGAAGGCACGACACAGTTAGAAGAGGTACAAGGAAGCAGGAAAATAGAAAAAGAGAGAGTATTGGAATTGGAATTGAATTATTGTGTTTGGCCTCCAGTTCGGCTGGGGTCGTAAGCTAAACTGGCTGATGCTGCCAGGATAACACCGGGTAGAATTGTGAGGGCCCCCGGCCTCAGTTAAGCTTTGTTTTGAAATGAAATGCATAATCATTCTTTTGAAAGAAAAAAAAAAACAAAAAAAAAAACAGGTAGATAGAGCACACCCGTCGGGAAACCTATCGGGCTGTGTATGCTCGAAGTCTTGTTTATTTAAGGCTTTTATGATGAAGGTATCCAGCTCATTAGTCCCCTATCTTGGTGGTAATGAGAGAACGCACCCAAACTCTTCCGGTTTTTCTACTACGCTCCATGGTATGGCAATGGGCCTAATGCATCTGCCCAAGCGGAGCCACTTTGGCCATGCGTTATAGGGTTTAGGGTTTAGGGTTGCATCTGCCCAAGCGGAGCCACTTTGGGCCTTTGGCCGTGCATTGGAAGGATCCGGTGGATTTTTTCCTTTTTTTATTTAAAAAGAAAGGGCGACGGCCATCAAGATTTCATCTTTAAACTGGCCGGCCGCAGGTAGATTGAGTGTTGCATCTGGATCCGAACTCGGGTCTTTGTTTCAACAGTTGATGGGTGTACCAAATGAGCTAGGGCAGTTGGTTCTGGTGGACTTTCTTACTCCACCTCCTTGGGTAGAGGCCTCTTTCTACCAGACTGCAAATTGGGCACTGTCTTTCTGGCAGAGTCATGATTGGGTAGGCCCATTGGACACCAAGGAGCTTAGGGGGCCACCAAGGAGCTTAGACTTAACCAGAAAAGCTGGGCCCTCTCTCTCTCTCTCTCTCTCTCTCTCTCTCTCTCTCTCTCTCTCTCTCTCTCTCTCTCTCTCTCTCTCTC